ATGGTGTCTCTCTGGAGACTAAGGTGCCTCTGATACAGGCCATGATCTTTGCAATCACTTGTTAAACATCAGAAAGTTGGACAATGACTAAGGAGGATAGAAGGGGAATTGATGCCTTTGAGCTGTGGTGCTGGAGAAGAGTATTGAGAGTACCATGGACTGCTAGGAAAACAAACAGGTTCATCCTGGAAAGGTTTAAACCGGGTGGCTCCTTGTATGCAAGGATACTGAGGCTCCATCTGACATACTTTGGACATGTTGTAAGGAGAGACCGGTCCTTGGAGAAGGACTTCATGCTTGGAAGGGTGGAGGGACAGCGCAGGAGGGGAAGGCCCTCTATGAGGCGGATTGATTCAGTGACTGGGATAATAGGGATGGGAGTGTCAGAGACAGTGTGATTGGCACAATACAAAGCAGAGTTTAGGGCTGTTGTACTTAGGGTCGCTATGAGTCGCAAGCGACTTGAGCACACATAACAACAACAAACAACAACAGCTGATTTAAAAACTTTGGGTGAAATCTGATAGAGTGTACTTTTTCAATTTTAATTTTTTTTGTTTTTATATATACTTTATTTTTTCAATAATATTTTAGTAGTTTATTTACAAAATAAAGTTCCGAGTGATTCCATACTTTTCCCGCTAGATTGAATTTTATTGGTCTTCAAGGTGCAATGGATGCTTGTGCCTTTTCAAAAGTCATTTAATTTGTCATCTTGGTCTAAAATGTAATATAAATTATTCTGAAATGATTATTTTGAGTGAATAGAGATGCATCTGCAGGAGAATACAGTTATGGAGAGGCAGCCTGTATTTAGGCATTTCTCTATATATCAGCACTAGTCTGTCTTTGTGTTAAGTTGATGCTCCAACGCTTAGTATCTCATCATATAAAGTGAAAACTGATTCTCTGTTGTTGAATTTTGTAAACAAGAGCTTTTATTTTTTTTCTGTTGTGAATATACACAGCAGAGTGTACATAGTTTTAACCTTTTCTGTATGCATGTACCATTCAGACGTTAATTCAGTTCTTTGGGTTTTACAAACATTAGCATCCTTCTTTCCTGAGTTGTTTGCCCCTACTTGCCTAAACTCTCTGCCTTGTGAGATTTTTCCTCTAAATTTTCACATTGCTGATTCCAAAAGGCAGCACGGAATTACAAAGCAAAATACTACAATGAAATGTGCCAGTAACTAGAGTCGGAAAATCAAAAGGGCCAAACTCGTTCAGCATTTCTTAAGCTCAAGGAACTGAAGAACACATTCAAACCTCGAGTTGCTACAATCAAGGATGCTTTAGGCAGAATGTTAAATGATCCAGGACGCATCAAAAGAAGATGGAAGGAATATACTGAGTCATTGTACCGAAAGGAATTGGCAGATACAGAAGAATTTAATG